ATAGGAACAATTTCACTCAAAGTATACCTAGACACAGGAGAACTATTGTCGTGAAAGTGTTGTACAGTCGATTACGAATTTAGATTGCAGAGAGTTTGTTCTGAGCGCTAAAAGCACTCACGATAGAACACATTTTGCTTTGTTCTAACAATGGTTTCTCGAATACTATTAGACAACAGAACGTAGATTGGGGAAAGTCACATGGCCATCAGTCAAGAACTACGTCAAATCGAAGACATCAATCAGCCAAAGAAATCAACTACTATATTAGGTGCTGCTAGCGATCGTTTTTGTTCTACATTTGGGCAAGAATTTATGGTTTCACGAATACTTTTGTACAACAGAACGGAGATTGGGGAAAATACAATAAAAATACGGTCACATGGCCATCAGTCAAGAACTACGTTGAATTGAAGAGAACAATCAGCCAAGGATATCAACTACTATATTAGGTGCTGCTAGTGATCGTTTTCGTTCTACATTTGGGCAAGAATTGATGGTTTCACGAATACTTTTGTACAACAGAACGGAGATTGGGGAAAATACAATAAAAATACGGTCACATGGCCATCAATCAAGAACTATGTCATAGAAACCGAAACCTAACTATGTCATAGAAGTTGACTGTATTTTTGTTGGGAATTCACGTGCGCGTGTAAGAACTAATGAAGTACTATTGGGACTAACAAAGTACTTGTGGAAAATCCAGGTTTATATGGATTAAAAGTGGTCTTCAGGCGTGACAAATAGATAGGATATACCGGTAGCTGGGTCAGAACCAGCTTGTCACATTTTTGAGGACCAGACTGGCTTTTTTAGCCAACAATTTTATTCGCTTTTGTTTTGTGCTTCATAGAGTCGTTACCATACTCATCTTCTGTAGTGAAAGGTCATTTGCATTTGCTTCTGCGTTGTTCTTTTTTTGTCTCCGATTTGTGCATATTCGTTTTGGGAAACTCCCTCCGTTTGAATCCACTGCTTAGACTTCTTGTAAGCACTGTCAGACAAAGGAAGAAGGCGAATCGTCTCCTCCGCGTTCTTTAGGTTGTCTGCCAGCATATCCAGAATATGGTTCAAGATAATAGAGGCATGGGTCGTGTTCCCCCCTTGTTGGCCTTGAAAGCTGTACGCCATACCCAAATCGACCAGGATAGCCTGACCTTCCATGCCGTCCAAGTTGACTTGTCGCAGCCCATCTAGGCGTTCTTCCAATGTCAAGCTGCGTTGTAGTCTTTGTTTGGCCTTAGAGCTTTGCTTCGTGACTGTGGTGTCCGTTTTTTGTGCCGTTGGTGTGGTTGATTGTGAAGCAGACGCTGAATGTGTCCGTTTAGCACTGCGTTCACTCAAGGAGCTCCCATCCACATCCATTTCTTTAGATGGAGCGACCACCAAAACCCTGTGAGACCGTCCCTTCTTCCTCGGCGGAGATGCCAATTCAGGGTCCTTGTCTTCACCAGTAACACCAGTCAGTTAAGAAACTGCCTCATCCGTATTCAGGCCCATGTTGTTGTTGTCTTTGTCGTTTGCAGTATCCGTAAGATCGTAAGTACTTTCCACGAGAATGACAGAATCCTTGGTCGATTCGTCAGTACTTGTATCCTTGTCATCCTCCTCCACCTCGCCCTTTTCGTTGTCGTTGTCGTCATGGGTGCGATCGTCAACAGAAGCAAGTTCACCGTCTATTTCCATGTCGTTCCTTTGGTCGTTGGAGTCCTCAACTGTCTCGTCCGAGTCCCATCCATCGGGCTGGCCAAACTTATTGACAAGGCCAGTGTCCTCATCGCCCATCGGATCATCTTCCTCCTCAGAATCTTCGTAGTCAGGATCAAATATCTTTTTGACCCCCTTGTGAATATCCACCTTATTAGTTTGTCGTTGCGAATTCCCTCAATCACCTTCAATTTTATTTCTTGAATGCAAGAGATTGGGGACTCCTCAAGAAATTCGTCAAAAAGCATTGTCCATGGGTGATCAAATATGGAAGCGCACATCAACCAAAACTGCAC